TAACACTATGTTTCAGCATAACTTTACATACTTTACACTCTGTGTTTCAAATATAGAAGAACCTCGAGTGGTTAGCTTAGAGTAAGTAAAAGTCACGTACCCAGCACAGGCCCCCTGCCAGCCTCATCAATGCCAAGACAGCAATCCTCCGTTTTGCAGACTTCAGGGATCTCAGAAACCAGCCGGCAGCTGACGGAGTTGTCAGCTTCAAAGGGGCTGAGGTCCATGACTGATGGCTGAAAGAACATGCAACATTAAATTAAATTTAAAGTTGATTTTTGTCTTAGTGAGCCACAAAGTAAGGCATGTATTTATTATTTTACTTATTTTAAACTTCTGTAACAGATGGCCCTGAAAAATACCCTATAAACTTTAATTAATAAGACTAAAACCAAATAAATAAATAAAAGGATCAAATCCACTACAAAAATAACTGAAGCCTAACTGAAGAGAAAATAAATACTGAAAACTAAAGGAAAAAATGAATCAGAAAATGTAAAGCTTTTTAAATTAATTTTTTTGAACTCAGAAAAACTGCAACAACACACTTAATACATTTTGCTGAAGAAGCGGCATCATTTAATGCCCTGCTTAGCATCTAAATCAGGTGTGTCAGGGCACACAGTGGGGTGTTAATGTTTCGACAGCATTGACTGACGGGACCATACATTTGTGCAAAAACAAAAAACGCTTTAGGATCAGGTTAAAAGTTGCAGTGTGTAAAATATCACTGCTAGAAAGACTGCAGTAAACTGGATTTTGTTTTCTTACTCCTCCCTTTTCAAGTCGATATCCTAACTATGGTGGCTGTTGAAGGACAAACAAGTTTTCGTCAGCCAAGAGAAACCAAAAACATTAAATTTAGACTGTACCCCACAAGGGCTGCAGCTGGCTGGCAGGTTTCTACTACTGTTTAAAAAAATAAAAATAAAGAGAAAAAAAATTCTACACACTATATTTAAGAATATTTTAATATCAATATTTAGCAGCAAATCAGGAAAAAACAAATAAACTGATATGTAAGGTGGGTAAGAAAAACAATGAAATACACAACATTGTTTTTCTTACCTACCTTACAGGAGGAGAAAAAAAGCTCTACCCAGACTGAGCTCCTGACAGGAGAGCAAATGATGATGTGTGAATCTGAGGGTGTGTGTCGGGAGCGTGAAAGGGACTTTATGAAGGGAGACGTAAGATCCCACTGTGCGATGGTACTCTAAAAGTCAAATGACAGCAATGTGAGATCCAGCTCTGACTCATTAAGTTATACACATTCAGACACAGTGAAACACACACTGACCTACCAACTTTAGAGAACGGTTTTTATCAACGGAAAAGGTGCATTTCAAAAGAAATATGAAATGCTCTGTTATCATCCGTGTGGCTGCTATGAGCTTAAACGTTAGCTAAATGCTACGCGCCACTCAAACGGACAGTTTTAACCAGCTCGCCCTGGAGATTTGTGCTTAAGTCATTAGTTTAGGCTGCTGGGAGAAAATGCCAAAGTAGCACACATCGTCATAAACGCAAGCAAAGTTTATGCTGACCTGCTCAGATGATGAAAACACCCCAAACTTCACCTGACGAGTACTTCTGTGTGCACCGTGCCGCAGATTTGGCGCCCCTGGATTGACGTCGTCATCGGTTCTTCTTCTCTTGTGTTTGATGGCAGTTCTAATTCTCTAGAGTTGTATTACTGCCACCCCCAGTTTTTTAGTCAATGATTTCAGTCTTTTCTTCCCCCGTACCGATTCCCTTTAGAGGGAATCGGTACGGGGGTTCCAAAGTTAGTTAAATAAATACATTATTAAATAATCAAATAAAAGTGTAATTAATTAATTAAATAATATTAAATTATAAATTATACATAAGTAATGTATCAAATGTTTTAAATGAATCGGACAGCTATTTAATACAATAATTATATATTCATTAATTAATTAATTATTCCCTTAATTAATTAATCAATAAAAAAATTGTTTAATTATGTATTTATTTCGTTTGTTTTGGGACTTGTAGTCCCCCATAAGTCCCTACACTGAAGTTTTTTAACTCTCTGTCACCGACAGGAAAACTCTAATAATCTTTATTCTTGCATCATTCCAGCACAAAGACGAAACATGCTGTTTCTCTTTCTGAGCCAGTAACCCTATAATATTCCGTATAAAGAAATTTTGTATAAACTAGTGTACTATTCTTTGAGTCAGAATGAACATTCCTGTCACAAGGTAGAAGCGCCAATCAGGTTTTGGAAAACTGAACTGTACGTATCCTTTATTTATCCAGATACTAAGGTCTCATTGACTTTAGAGATGCCTTTTTAAAGAGAGATCTGGCCTAGAGGACATCAGAAATTGCAGCTAAACATGTTAAGAGGCTAAAAAGGACTTGACTGATTACAACAAGTACAATGATGCAGAGTGATTTCCTAAAGACACTTGCAAAACAGATCATTTCATTTACTATAGGCCCATTAATATATCTTGTTGACTACAACCTGTTTACCAATATAAGAAAATATATTAGACCTCAAAAGCACAGAGAAACTTCAGAAATCACATTTTGGCACAACATCGACAGACTCTCTTGTTCTTTAGAGTTCGGTGGCAGTTGGCATCATTTAGAATTGCATTACTTCCTCCTTCTGAACTGAATACACTGCCATCAACAGTATTTGTAAGGCCAGTTGCTTTCAACAACACACTAATTGAGTTTCTTTCCTCTACTAAATCTGCACAGCTTTAATTTTAACCCTAGCCAATCCTTGCACATACATAACTTTTTTCTGCAGGCGATGAGGATGTGCTCTACTGTTTCTGTAATAGCCATGAAATATGATCCGTTTAAGCTGCTGTGACCAGTTCTTATCTGCTCTTTATGTTATTTTCGGTCTTATGTCTTGCTTCTTGCCTCCTCTACTTTATTTTCTGTCTCATGCAAATGTCTTTTATTGAGCTTTCCCAGCTCTTTAGCCATTTTTTTTTTAAGTATTGACCAAACTATGATATTCCTATTTGATTTGACTGAAAAGTTGGCATCAGCTAATGAGCAATTCATAACTGGGAACATGATGATTTCTTTTTGCCGTTTTAGTTGTTAAGTATGCTGACACTCAGTCATTATTCAAGGTGACAAACTACCTCACATTTTGAATGGTTTGCAAATGTCAGCATACATGAATCTCACAAATGTGGTTAAAAAAATAAATGTTTTGATCTGTGCCTGGACCTGTAACTCAAACATGATTATGAGACAAAACAGCAGCTGAAATCATATTTCACGTTTTTAAAAAAGCTTAAAATTTAAAAGCTTATTTAAGTGAATAAATTTAGCTGAATTGTTTGTGTGGATGTATACAGCACATATACTGCCTCTCAGCATTAGAAATATAGCTGTGATTTGTTCACCCTGTTACATATGAGTATATTCCTTTCTATTATTTTCTCCTCCCAATGTTCTTCTGAATCCCGTCTGACAGCTGAAAACACTAACTGCTGCTTCTGTTGCCTGTTTCTGCACTGAGGTCTTCTTCTTCTTCCTCCCCTCTTTTTATGGCATCAGCAAACTGTATCAAAACTGTAACCGCCACTGTTTGTTGAGGAGTGATACTGCATCAGCTTCTTCTCTTTAATCAGCATTTGGGCTGCTGTCTGACCCAAAAATGTTATAACTGACAAGCTGGAGTCTTGTGAAAAACTATTTACACTCCATAGTTTTTGTATAACAACCTCTATCTATCTGGGAGTTTTTTTCTGCAGTAAGTATCTGTTTTTTGTGTCAGTCGCTCACATTTGTGAAGGAATCTCTGCCTGCTTTTCTTTGAGGTTTGCATGCATGCTGCAGCATTCAATCAGGTTTTGACTAGAACCCTGCAACACTTTGAGTCTTTTCTTTAGCTTTATTTGTTGGGCAGATTGTGCCAAATTTAATTCTAGAATACTTTCACTCAGTGACTGCAAGGTGCCAAGGACCCGTGGCTGCAAAAAGGCCATAGCAATAGTTTGGTGTGAGCTGTTTCCAAATGTCATGCTGTGCATTAAAGTCAAACACCCCCATTTTGGTCTCAACTATCCAAAGGACATTGTTCCAGAAGTCTTGTGGGGTTTTTTTCAGACACAATTGTGCAAATCTAAGCAATGAATTCCCACTTATGACTCTTTGAGGAATTTGTAGCATGTGCATTTAGATAATCATGTGTGCTCCTGTCTAACACCAGTGTCTGTGCTGTGATTTGCTGTAGCAACGTTACGATCACCCAAATAACATAATATGAATTACTTGAGCTTGGTTTGGCTGATTTCTAATTTAGCCTTGAAAATGGATGAAAGCAGATAAGTACTATAATAGTATTACGTTATAATACTATTTGGGATTATTTGTACTGATGAAGTATAAAAAACTAAATCTTTGAAATGAAAGTATTTTTTAAGTATGGTCTTATGTGAGTTTATTTGGACTTTATATGAGTTTATGTAGCATAACACAATAAACTCACCAATGTTTAACAAAGTATGAAATGCTTTATTGAATAAAATGACGTAAAGGTGCAGAAAAGCAAAAATGCAATGTTTTCATGTGAATATTTATATCTACTCATGAAACTTGCTCAGAATCTTTTTACATTCTTAAAAAAGGTTTGGGTTTTTTTTAGTGCACTCCTTCACATGTCCCCTTTTAAAAGCCATTCAAGGTTTGTTTTTCAGTTTTGTCATGGCCTGGAGGTAGGCAAAAAGCTGGAGCCATGGCTGCTTATCTGTTTTTTTCTCATCTTGCCCACAACATGATTTTAAGAGTGTTTATTCTCCGACTGGTAGGATTATTTTAAGATGCCATAATTTAAGATTAATCTAAGACGCCTTTGTGTAATGTAACAATTTCCCTTGGGCTTGGGCTGCTCTTTTCATTTAAAACTCCCACTTCCTTATTTTGGCGCATGTCTGCATCGCCCCCAACGCGGAGAGAGCAATGAACTTGACCTTTGAATTTTGCGTGCCATCTGAATGGGTTTAAACTGCAGCTGAGTGTGGAGGCAGGGAGGGAACCTCAGGTGGAGAGGAGAGGGTAGAGTGAAAGGAAGGCCATGTACAAAAGTCCGAGTGTACGCTGGTTACTGAGCTGAAATTGGCCTTGCCTCTGACTCTTTACACCCACCCCTTCTCTCTCTTTCTGTCCCTTGCTTTCGTTGAATGGCTCTCTTTGTCTTTCTCAGTAACACGCAGTCCCCAGCCGATTAAATGTGGGGGAATTAGTAGTCAATTTTAGCCTACCACACACACAAACACACTAAACAGCTTATAGTGGTGGGGCTCTGGTTGTGTTGTTATTACAGTTCACACATCAGCTGTGTGTTTTTAATTAATTTCTACTTTTTTTCACCCTTCGCTTGCTTCATATGTTATACCTGAACCACTACCATTGCATTAAATCACTCTCACACAGGACTTTTGTTTTTTTATAAATAAATTGATTTAATAGATGACAACAATAATATTTCAACATTGCTTTTCTGGTAAGGAAGCAAAATACTCAAGTGAATGTATAGCAAACACTTTACAAAACTATCCAGAATTATACAAAATGGAAGAAACAAAGGTGTGACACGATGCATTATTACTTACATAAAAATATCAACTATGTGAGAAAAGGGTCAGTATAAAATGATAAAGTATGTGTCACGTAATAAAGATGAAGCTGTGGTAATGACCATTATTCACATTGGTAAAAGGGGGGAGAGGGCGCAACATAGGAAGAAAATGTAAAAACAAAAGCGTGGCTTTGGCCCACATGCGGAGCAGAACGGCCGTACATGTGATTCTAATCCTTAAGCAGGACCCAAGCTGGCCAATTATCTTGAGAGATTTGGTTGAGACTTTGCACTTATAGATTTGAACTCTGTTAAAGGTGGATCAGGAATCTTTTAGGCACTTAGTAATCAAAAAGAAAAGTGGAAATTTGCTTTAGTCACCCATGTATCCAGTCATATTTCTCCTTTGCTGTTGGCACAAAACAAACAGAGCTGAGGTAAGTGTCCGAGACTGAGCAACAAGTCGAAATGCATCTTTTAGAGCTCTCTTTCCCTCTCTTTTTCCTATTTTTCCCCTTAAATGCTTCATTGATCACTTCAGCAAAGTTAATATAAAGGCAGGACAGTGATACAGTGAGACTGCACTATCTACAGAGAAAGAAAAGTTGCAGCTATCCTTTTCCGGCCATGAAAAAACAACCCCAGGGATCATTGAAAGATGTCTTTTTTTTTTACCCCCCAAAAGCAGTGGTGCAGATGTAGATGTGTAATATCATATCAAACACAATAAAGTTACACCCTAGGATATCCACAATGACAATAAACTTACTACTCATATAAAATAACACAAAGACATCACAAACAACCTTTAGTTTGGTTAATAAATTCTGATTATGTCAGTCTAAACCCAGCACTTCTGGGTCAAATCGGAGTCACTCATCAATCCATTTGTCCACTTTCAACGTCTCGTTCACTTGTCTATCTTTACACCCTTTCCTGTATGTCCCAACCTACGAAATTTTTGATGGCACATGTTTGTTAAGTTTTCTTCTGGTTTTGATTGGTGGATGACCCAGGAATCACACTCTATACTGTGTGGGTATTTTTTTTAACTGTTTAAGGCCCCATGGATGCACATTGCATTAAACTGACTAAAAAAGTAAAAACTTCTAATATAACATCGATATGGCACGGGCATACACACACGCGCGCGCTCACACTCACATATTTTGCACACACACAGATCCACTCACACACTTCCCATATTTCCTTCTGCTCAGCTGGTCTCCCTCAAGGTCTTGTGAGTGTGGTGTAAACAGGCTGCTCCCAGTGAGTGGGGCTGTGAGAGGGCGCCACGCTGGAGGGGTCTCCTATGGTAGTGTACAGAGGCCTCTGTGTAGGGCCCATGTAGGAGAAGGCTGAGTACAGCCCAGGGGCTTGGCTGGAGTGGGCATAGTATGCCCCGGAGGCCTGGTGGTCTCCGTACTCAAACTGAGCTCTGGAGGCCAACGATGGAAATGCGGAGCCATAGTGAGGCAGGCTGAGTGGGGTGTAGGTGACATGGGTGCCTGAGGAGGGAGAGGATGAGGCTTCGGCGTAGTGGGTACCAGAGACAGATTCACTTTTGATCTGAGCCTTGGATGGGTCGGAGGAAGACGGGGAGGCCTGAGGCTGTTGTTGCTGTTTGGACAGCCAGGCGGAGTGCCCGCTTGCAGCAGCCAGGGCGTAGGCGTAGGACGAGGCCGAGGATCCAGCTGCAGGAGCCCCAGTCGCGCTCTGAGGGTGACCATTTGGAGGGAGGTACTGGTCAAACTCGTTCACGTCAAATGGCTCGATGTTGGACATCACCTCATGGCTGATCTCGCCGATGTCCATGGTGCCAAAATCGATGTGGGGTTTAGCACTTGAAGATGAGGGACCACCGGATGACCCTTCAGCTCCAACCCCAAGGGCTCCCCTGGGCCCCCCTGATCCTCCAGGCGCTCCTGCTCCCCCCTCCCTCTTGGCATCTGACAGTTTCCCAGACTGGAGTTCTGTCTTTGGGGTGGTAGGTGGAGTTGGCGGGCTGTGACCCTGACCTAAAAGAGAAAGAAGGAGCAACATGATAAGGTGAACTTTGACATCAGATACAAAAAGGCTTTTGTTTGTTTGTTTGTTTTACCTAACTTAAGTTATATTTTAAAATTACAGCATAAATTATTAAGTTTCGAGATTTTTGATTTAAGTTTTGAAATTTTGGATCAGGTCTCTCGCAACATGAAAATAATAATATCACTAAGACATCCATAGAAACGGGAAGACACCTACCAGCAGGATGGTGGTGATGATGGTGGTGGTGGTGCAGGTCACCCAGTGGAGACCCAGCCCCGCCATTGTGCTCAAGATGCACAGTCTTGTAGTGAGACTGGGAGTGGCTGGCCTCCCCTTCCCCCTGGCTATCTGACTCATTAGAAGGCATCAGTTTGCCATTTTTGCGTCTCCGGGGCTGGTACTTGTACTCCGGGTAGTCCTTCTTGTGCTGTTTTCTCAGCCTCTCTGCCTCCTCAATGAATGGCCTCTTGTCGGTCTCATTCAGTAGCCTAGGGGGCAGAAAAACAAGGACTAGTCTTATATTGCTTCCAAGTTCATTTTGAAAATATTTTATTAAAATATGCCTGAAGATCATAAATATCTCCTGCTTTCCGAATCATGCGTAATGCATAAATATCTTTTTTTCTTTACTTCTTTGGGTTAAAATCTGTTTGTTTACTTTTAAAATTCTCTCTGTAAAGGAGAACAACAGAAAAACACCAAGTTTTTATTTCTATCCGATTTAATACCAAACAACCACAAACTGAAGCGCAAACATTTTACGCTTAAATTCAGCACCGGTACATCCTTTACGCACAAGAAATGTGCCCCTTGTATGGCCACACTGTTCTTTTTTTTTTTTTTTTTTTTTTTTTTAAATACAAACCTCCACAGTTTGCCCAGTGTCTTGCTGAGCTCTGCGTTGTGCAGGTGGGGGTACTGGTCCGCGAGTTTCCTCCTCGCCGCTTGCGCCCACACCATGAAGGCGTTCATTGGCCTTTTGACATGGGGTTTAGCTTTGTTTCCGTTGTTTACGCGCACCGGCATTGGCACAAGTGTCCAGTCATACCCGTCCAGCACCTGACTGACCGCCTCCCTTATGCCGATCGGGAAACGATCGTCCTCTTCCTCTTCCTTGGCTCTGGGTCTGCCTCCATCATCACTGCTGCCGTCCGCGACACAGAGGGCGGTCAGCTGCTGCTGCCCCGTCAGAGGTGAGTCCTGGCCGGGCGTGGCTCCAGGTTGAGTCGGTGACAGTGAGTGACCATCGTCTGACCCTGCGGGACTCAGCTCCGCCTCGGACAGGCTGTGCTCCTCGCCGGACATTTTTCCTTTTCAATTTCGTTAAATTATAGGACAATCCTCAAATGAAAACTTTTCCACAGAACTAACTTCTCGGAGTAATTAAATGGTTTCAAGTAAATGTCCGGGGTGTCAAGGATCCCAGTTATTGTTGACTCTTCTTAGGCAAAGACATACTGCTGCGTAAAAGTCTCCAAATGCTTTCCACCTTCAGCTGGAAATCCTTTACAGCAACAGCGGCTAAATCTAAAAACCACACAGACACAAATTTGTTAAAATGATCATTTAAATTTTTGTCCGAAACAAAAGAGCCGTGATTTATTTAAAGATAAACACGTTAAGTTACTTAGTGGGACTAAATGTGATAAGAAAGCGACTGAAAATGAATTTCTTTTCGATAATGTCACATTCCGGAAAATAAAATTCCGCCGGTAAAATATACACATATTGTTATTATCATTATTATTATTATCATAATTATTAATCCAACTTAGTCCATACAACGTTTAATAAAAATAATAATTACGCGTTTGGCAAAAATATTAATATCAAACATTCACTTATGTATAAACTCTCATTTTTTAAATTACATAACTTACCAATTTAGATGTCCAGTGGTTCAGCATGGAAGTGTGTGTGGCTGACTGTAGAGCCGATGAATGGCTGCTCTGTGTGGCAACACCGGAGCTTAAAGAGCGCCTTGTGAGAGGGACAGGGAGAAAAAAAAGTGATTGAAAGTGGAAAACATTCCCAGAGAGGCAGCATTCCAGCACAAGCAGCCCCGCCCTCCCAGTAAGACTCTGCTCTGATTGGTCCTCTAATTATCCCGCTGCTCTCCGATTGGGCGGAAGCCACGTAGCGTTAATGGCCGTCTGTCCATCACTGCAAGGTTTCCAACGGAGAAGAGGTGAGATTTTTACCTTGGAGAGGCTTAAATGACTGTACAGTGCGCCCATTTACAGGCAGGAGAAGGCCAGCTTTGTTGGACGTGTTGACATGTTATATCAAACAAATAAACAATCATGAAGAGAGTTATTGCCCCGTGCGGTTCCTGAAGAAAAAGCATCAAATGAATTGTAAAGTTCAGTTCAGACTGAACGAAACTCTACTTACAAAAAATTATCTTACAAATTTGAGAGATTTGGGTAAACAGAAGTTCGGGAAGAAAATCCACAGAAAAGAAAAAAAACGCACGAACGCCAGTTTAGGCAGGATGTGTTGAACGGGTTTATGGATCATGAAATCATAAACGTTATGCTAAATAATCATTTTGAATCTATATTTGACCTCATAATGATCACACAAAGCGTCATTACCTTTTTTTAAGGTATCTCCTTATTCCTCGTAGTATTATCTGCAATTCATAAAACAGTCACGAAATTTATTCTATTGATTTGTATTCGTGGATGCGACTTTAGAGGGGAGGGGGGAACCCAGGAATCTGAAAGCAGGGATGTCTTGAAATGATTTGAAGTTAGCTGATATCTCACATATTACACCTTTACTTGAAATAACCTTTAACTTTTGAGTGTTATACTTCATAATTGAAATGTCAGACGAGAAATCTATCTTTAAGAGTTATTTACGCTTCTATCTGCGTGAAAATGCGAGGAACAGACAAAAAACGTGTAAAGACACCTGGATTTAAAATGATAATAATAATAATAACAGATAATCTCAATAAATAGTGACATCTCTAAAAACAACCTAGGTGCTATAGTGTTGTTATGATTTTAATCTAATGTTGCATTCTTCGTGTCTCCTTAACCTCCTCTTCCCGTGTCCCGCTCCGCGTTTGTTCGCGTGTTAGGATCTATTTGTAGGCTGCAGGATTGAAGGCCGCGATTTTAATGCATGATGGGAAAGATAGAGAATTGACTTAAGCAGCATTTGATGCGCAAACGGACACACACACACACACACACACACACAAAATGAATGCAACAATGACCCCTGTGTATCCTTTTGCCTCTCATGTTGAGCCCGACTCTCAGTTTTCTCCCTCTCTCTCTTCTCTCTTTGCTCTCTTTGTCTCCATCTCAGGTGAATTGTAGCCATGTGATCAAACGCCCAAGCCTCTATCCATTAACCCTCGTAAATGAAAAAAAGGGGAACAAAAAGCAGTTTTGTGCTGCAAACATGGAGAAAAAAATGATAACAGAGAGCGATGTGTGCGTCTTTCTCCCCTTATGTCCTAGCATTGACACTAGTCGCGCACACATAGAAAATACTCCGCAGCAGACGGGGACACATGGATCTCTCTGTTTCTCTCCCGCTCCGACACTTTCTTCAAACACACACTGCGGCACCTGGATATCGGCCTCGGAGGTGCTAATGGTAGGAAGTTGATGTTTGGAGAATGACGGGTTGTTAGTCGGCGGTGTGGTGGTGCTGGTGGTGATGGTGATGGTGGGGGACACCCACTTCCATGCTGCACCCCATCGACCAGCCCTCAACGCTCGGACTTGCGGTGAGGCCTCCGAGGTTTGTGTTGTTTTGTTGTTGGTCTGCACTAGAAAGAAAACGTGACCCGATAGTTGCTGTTTAGTTTAGTTTGTTTGTTTGTTTTCAAAAAAGGAAGTGATCAAATTTTGATTTTGTTTGCAATTTTCACATCAGCCCTGTGCAGAAGAGAGGGATGGGGAAAGTTGTGGTTTTACGGAGAGTGTTTAGTTAGTTCAGCTGGATGTGCACGGCCCCCCAGGGAGCATGTCTGAAAGAACCTTGAGGTTCCTGTGTCGCCAGTTTATCAGAACGCCATTAAAATAAAAAGCAGGCAATATCACGTTTGGTCGAAACCACATCCAGGTAATAATCAAAGCTTCTGCTGCTCGTTGAGGTGTATCTGATCATCTCAGCGCAAGGCACGTCTCATTAAGTCCTTATAATCAGCGTAGATTATTGCTACTAACATTAAGTTTCTGGAATCTGTGACGTTTTTATGTTTTATGTACTCCGTGACTTTATTTATTATTTAATTATCGCGTTTTATGTTAAACGATGCAGAAAATATAACGAGATTTTTACAGCCGATTTGAACAAAATTTCCTCTTAAGATTAAAAATAAATAAATAAAATAAAGAACTTTCTGCCTCTGGTTTTATTAGGCATGACAAAAAAAAAATCTGACCAAATTATTTTCATAATTTATGACTACATGTGCGAGAAAAGCAAATGCATGATTAATTTTTATCGAAGAAAATAACTGAACCAAATGTTTCTTTATTTTTTGCCACACTGAAACAAATAAAAAAATCAAACTTCAATTAGTGATAGGAAATTATTATTTTTTTTATTTTTTATTTTTTAAGTGACTATACAGGCAATAGGTAAGTAATAATTCAACTAAAACAAATATCTGCCAGGCTGCTTAATTAAATCAAGTGTCAAATGTTTAACGAAGCCCTGTGTTTCGGTCTGAAAACTCATCACTATTTTACAAATGAATTGGCTTTTAAAAATAAATAAATATGTGCATGAAACGGACTGTATTTTAGTCTTGGCGCTGTGTACAAATTTGTTCATCGGTTTTAAATTTAACAGGCCCCAGAAAGCAGCTGAAACCCACTCCCACGCCCATTTGGATCAAACTTTGTGGATGTTCACTTGGATAAAGTCTTTTTTTTTAAAAGTCTTTTGATATGTAGCGGAAGAAAAATAGACCGATAATTTATTTAGATAAACTCAATGATTTTGAAATGACTTTACACATATTAAAAAACAATTACTCATCGCATGGATTCTATTTGTATTTTAGATGCGATTGAATTCAGTTAAAACTACGCAGGAAGTCGAGCTCCTTTAATTTATTGGGGGCAGTGCCAGCTCTGATTCACTGTCATATAAAGGGACAGTATTTTATAGCATTTACGACTTTCACTTTTCTTCCTCTTCTTCCTTATACTGAAGCTTATATGCTTCACTTAAGCTTTTCCCTACGTGCAACCATGATATTTGGATGTGCGTTAAAAGTCCCCTTTTAAAAAATAATCAAAAACTTAAAAGATTCTTAAAAAGCAAAGGTTTAAAAGTCATGTGGGGCTTTGTAAACATCTAATGTCAAGACCTCGCCTATTACACCTGCTGCTAAAACCAAAGATCACCTTCATCTCTTTAGAGCTGACTCATTTTTGCACAGATAAAAAACAAAACAAAAAGACAAACAAACAAACAAAACAAATGAGAAAGAGACAAATTTTGTCTGAAATCTAAACCCCTCATGCACTTCCTGGCATTTTATATGTCCTGTGTGAAACTCTCATGAGCCGCGGGGCAGCTGTAACTATTTAGAAAATAGAGCTCACATGGTCGCATCAGTCCCTGCGCTAACCTGCCATGTGACTGCAGTAATGGGCCTCTCCATGGCTGCACAGACCACTGTGTCACAAGAGCTTGTTTCCTGTGGCTCCTCGGGGAGAGGATGGCAGGACGAGGTCCCATGATCAGCAGGGAGGTCAAAGATCCTCATCAACAGGAGGCGGGTCAAAGAGCCATTCTTCAGGTGCACACTGAGCATTTTCATGTATGAACAACATGAAGCTGCTTCAGATGAGTTTATTTCTGAAGAACCTTTTCTTTTGGGTGTTTCGTTTGTTTGTTTGTTTTTTGTGAAGACAGTAACTTAGATGGTCAGGTGGTGGGAGGGCAAGGAAAGTAGGAAAAGAGAGAGCACCCTCCAGCTTTGGCCGTAATACTTGAACGGCTCCCAGGGGGAAATTCCTGAAATCTGATGATGGATAGAGAGAAAAAGCAAGAGAGAGGAAAACAGGCAGATGCAGATAATATGAGAGAGAGAGAGTGTGTGAGAAGGATGCAGATAAGGAAAGCATGCACAGCGGTCAAATATTCACATGCTGGGTCACATTCTGCATCAAACTGGTGCATAATTGATGGAAGGCATTCATTCTGATGTCAATAGGCACATTTGGCCTGAAATGAATGGCGTCATTTGTTCCGAATGATGGCAAATGTAGAAAAAAGAAGAAAAGAATCTGAAATTATATTTCAGAAGTGGCACATTTAAGCCGTAGTTTCATATTTCACCACAAAATATTCCTATGAGATTGAAGCAGTCTCATATGTTTGGTTCCTCTGTGTTTTCTTACTTAGTGCAAAATGTGATTCATAAACACTCTTAGTTCCTCTGAGAGTCTTTACCAAAACACAAAAGAACAGTCGAGGTCAGTGCATTAGCTTGGGGATTTCCAGCTCTTAAAGTAGACTATCAATAAAACTGAACATCATGTGACTCCACTGTCAGTAGGTCTGAGACCTGTACAGTGAAGCGTAGCATGTTTTCTCTCTCAGAGGTTTTCTGAGTCAACAACATACAGTGGTAACTGACTTTGTGACTGGATGTCAGACGATTGACTTACATGTTGACTGAAAATGTGGGAGAAACAGGGGTCATATTGAGACTTTGAGCAGGTCATGATCATAGGGTCGTTAAGCTTGTTTTTAGGGGCTCTGTGAAGCTGGTTAGATTTGGACTTTCTTCTGTGGGGTGGCTCTAAATCTTACTTTTACAGACTCCGTGGCTGCAGGTGTTTTCTGCATCCATCTCTCGACTGATTTCTCAGGAGATGATAATGCAGCGACACGCCATCCGTAGGGATGAATAAAATAGATTCTGCTATCTGACCTCTGTCAGTCCTTCTTCACCCATTTTCACCCAGTGAATTAGTGCAGCTGCACCACACTTAAATGGGTCTCCCTC